CACTGTTAGTGAATGACATCATGGAGCTACTTGAACTCTGTATGGAAACATATCTCCCGTTTGATGGGAGGATATATCGACAGGTGAAACGAACCCCAGTGAGATAACCAATATCCGGCTAGCTATTGCGGTGATGAAACAATTTGAAGTCAAGTCATTTGAAGAATACCACCATCACCTCTGGATCGGATTTATGGACGACATCTCCGTGGTGCTACCGGAAGAAAGGATCGAACAATTCCATGATACCCAAAACAAGGTTATGCCAGACATTTACCAATCACATCTTTGAAGAGAAAAAGAAAATCGGAGTGTTACCATTGGCCACAAGCCCACAACAACACTGCAGTCAATTTTGTTCAATGGTCGGAACCATGTAGAACCACAGGACCAATCAGGGGTGATGTACGCTACTCGATGCGTAGACTGTGACCAATGTTACATGGGAGGGACAGGTAAATAACTGTGTACTCGTCTACATGAGCACACTTGCATCACAACGCGCTGAACCGAAGTCACACCTGTGGAACCACTGTGCACGGAGAGGTCACGAGGTCAGAATCAGTGACACGAAAGTACTGACAAGGGCAAAGAGGAAAGTTGGAACGTCTGATCCTTGAAGTGCTGCTTTCGACCAACTCATTCGATCGACATATGGAAGTCGATAAACATTACGCAACAATTGTACAACCAATGAGGAACGCGGGATTATTGATGGACAAACAGACGCTAGGCACAAGAATACCCAATTCATTCACATACACATTATCGTTTGACAACAAGTCCTAGTCTGGATCGAAACTTCACAATAAATACTATCACTATATATATATATATATATATATATATATATATATATATAATAAACAATTTTTACACAGCGTAAGAGGAACACACGGTAGCGAACAAGCTCGTTTGTGATTATTCATCTACAGGCTAATACATCACAATTTATGTCAAATCGTTTGGTAGAGGGACACGAAATCGTGACCAAAAATGCTCTCTTTCCTATATCATTGTTCGGGGGCTAGGCAAGAGACGTATTGATCGTACGTACATCTAGACAGAACATAACAACTGCCGACGGGTGAACGAACCCAAAGAACCCTCGACTCTATGCGGTCCTACCAAGAACGTCAAAAACAAAGCGTTTTGGTTCCACCCCCGCTCACGTTTTGTGACAGATATTTTCCGCAGTCTGCCTCTTTGTCAATATCAGGTCTTAGTGGGTAAAAATAGAAAACAACCTGTTTACTCACATTACAAATATATATTCGACTGATACAGTATCGATACAAAACAAACGCGTGCACACCAAATTTGAAAACAAAAAAAAGAAAATCAAATATTGATCGATTTATGGTCATGTGACTAATCTGCTTGTATTAGTCCACCACGTATTTCATCTACCCAAGACTTATTGACCCGTTTACGCAAGATCAATTCGACCATATCATCGTATACAGTATACTGACATTGTTCTGGGATTATTTCACCAGGCAGTTTGCTCACGATCATCACGTAACGTTTCTTGCACATCTCCTCGTTGCCTAAACACTCGAATCGGAAACCCTGAGGATTGG